GAATCAGCCACGGGTGTACATGTGTCCCCCATCCTGAACCCCCCTCTCACCTCCCCATCCTATCTGTCTGGGTTATCCCAGTGCACCAGCTTTGAGTGCCCTGTTTCATGCATCAAACTTGGACTGGCAATCTGTTTCACATATGGTAATATACATGTTTCAATGCTGTTCTCTCAAATCATCTCACCCTCACCTTCTCCCACAGAGTCCAAAATTCTGTTCTTTATATCTGTGCCTCTTTTGCTGTCTTGCATTTAGGGTCATCTTTACCATCTTTCTAAATTCCATATATATGAGTTAATATACTGTATTGGTGTTTTTCTGACTTACTTCACTCTGTATAATAGGCTCCAGTTTCATCCACCTCACTAGAACTGATTCAAATGCATTCTTTTCAATAGCTGAGTAATATTCCATTGTGTATATGTACCACAACTTCCTTATCCATTCATCTGCCGATGGACATCTAGGTTGCTTCCATGTCCTGGCTATTGTAAACAGTGCTGTGATGAACACTGGGGTACACGTGTCTCTTTCAATTCTGGTTTCCTCAGTGTGTACGCCCAGCAGTAGGATTGCTGGGTTGCAAGTGGCCACCTTCGCCCCCTTCTGTCAGGTAGGAAATTGTAACTACTTTTCAAGTGGACAGTACTGCCCCTCCTCCAGACTGGAAGTGGAATACCTCTTGCCAATATCCCTGGCCTATGTATAGACTCCTCTGCAGGACTGGTCAGATATCTGAAAGCCTCTTCTAAATGCATGGTCCCGGTAGAGCCCTGAGAGACTGAACTATAAATAAAAATAGAACCCTGACCCACAGCTTGCTGCAGTCTGCGCAGGAAGCCATCCTCCTAACAACAGTAGCTAGTCCAGGAAGCCAAATCTTAATCCCTGTGGCAGTTGATCCCAAACAGCCAGGACTTGATTAATAACCGACAGCCTCCCTAATTTTTGTACCTACTTCTGCTATAGGACAGACAGGAGAAAGCCATTATGCACCCCTAACCAATTACACAGGAAAGCTCCATGTCTCACTGGCCTGTCTACTGCTTCTCCATGCTAACAGCCTCCAATCAGGGCTTCCTACCCTTTTATCCACCAGAAAACTGTGACACTCTCACCCTGCTTTTTTTAAATAATTTTTATTTACTTATTTGTGACTGTGTTGCTGCACAGGCTTTTCTCTGGTTTTGGTGAGCGGGGGCTATTCCTTGTTGAGGTGTGTGGGCTTCTCATTGTGGTGGCTTCTTGTTGCAGAGCATGGGCTTAGGCACGTAGCCTTCAGTAGTTGCGGCACATGCGTTCAGTAGTTTCAGTTCCCGGGCTCTAGAGCACAGGCTCAGTAGTTTTGGCGCACAGGCTCAACTGCTCCATGGCAGGTGGGATCTTCCCGGACCAGGGATTGCACTCATGTCTCCTGCATTAGCAGGCGGATTCTTTGCCACCGAGTCACCGGGGAAGACCTTCTGCCTGCTTTTGAGTTTCTGTCACATGCACGTGATGGTGGTCAACTCCCTTGCTAGAGCAAGCTCTAAATCAATAGCCTTTGCTTGTTCTCATTTGGGTTGTCTTCATTCACTTCCACAGATCAGAAGTTTCCTGAAGCTCAGGGTATTCCATTTGTTTTTTTCACTCTTGAATCCAATTTCCCTTTCTTTAAACATTGGAGATTGTTTTTAACCAACGCTTTCCAATAATTTCCCCAAACCTACTCTAAACATTGACCAGAACTGAGCATGTTTGTGCTGTGTGGTGCTAGTGGTAAAGAACCCACCTGCCAATGTAGGAGACACAGGAGACGTGGGTTCGATCCCTGGGTCGGGAAGATCCCCTGGAAGAGGACATGGCAACCCACTCCAGTATACTCTAACCTGGAGCATCCCATGGACAGAGGAGCCTGGCGGGCTACTGTCCATAGGGTCACAAAGAGTCTAACAGGACTGAAGCGACTTAACATGCATGCACTTGCTGGAAGGAGCACTGTTTTCTAGGAGATAAGATATAACACCTGGATTCCCAAATCTGCACTTGGTGCTGTGAGTCAGCAAGTCTCTTAGACTTCTGCTATCTCTATCTCCTTACCTGTAAAATAGGACTAAGACATGATTGTCTCCTTAAGTATTTGGACCATGCCCCATAGTCCTCAGGCCTTCCCTGATAGCTTAGTTGGTAAAGAATCTGCCTGCAATGCAGGAGACACTGGTTTTATTCCTGGGTTGGGAAGATCTGCTGGAGAAGGGATAGGCCACCCAATCCAGTATTCTTGGGCTTCCCTTGTGGCTCAGCTGGTAAAGAATCCGCCTGCAATGCGGGACACCTGGGTTCAATCCCTGAGTTGGGAAGATCCCCTGGAGAAGGAAAAGGCTACCCACACCAGTATTCTAGCCTAGAGAATTCCATGGACTAAGTCCATGGAGTCACAAAGAGTTGGACACGACTGAGCAACTTTCACTTTCCATAGTCCTCAATGTTTATAACACTGGGTTCACCTCTCAGCACTTTCTTACAGTAAAATAAAATAAAAAAAATTCTAGAGGAAGATATGGAGATATTTTATTTGAAAAGACTGTGGCAATGGGGGGAGGGGCACTGTTGTAATAGAGTGCTTGGAGCTGGAGATTTGCAAGGGTCTCCAACAGGTTTGGTCAGGAAGGGCTGTGCAGTATTCTGATGCTGGCCCAGGTTGAAAGTGGGTCAAAGTACCGGCTCCATAAGGGAAAGGAAGAAGCCAGAGTAAAGTTAGGTCAAGTCATGTCAGCAGGTGTTTTGTCCATAAAGGTCAATAGTGTTAGTTGCTCAGTTGTGTCAGATTCTTTATGACCCTGTGGACTGTAGCCTGCCAGGTTTCTCTGTCCATGGAATTCTCCAGGCAAAAATACTGGAGTGGATAGCCATTCTCTTCTCCAGGGGGTCTTCCTGACCCAGAGATTGGGGTCTCCTGCATTGCAGGCAGATTCTTTACCATTTGAGTTACCAGGGATGCCTGATAGTCAGTGGGGTCAAACAACTTAGCTAATCATTGATAGACAAATAAGGGGAACTGGAGTTTGTGGCTGGCTTCATCCTAGGTAAATGAGGGAGTATCTATAAATCTTATCTAAGTTACATGAAGGGTGTTTTTTTTTCTTCCCATTTTATTGAGATATAATTGACATACAGCACTATATTAAGTTTAAAGTGTACAGCATAATGATTTGACTTACATATATCATGAGATGGTTGCCACAATGAGTTTAGTGACCATCCATCATCATATATGTATCATATCATATATAATACCATATATTTATATATATAGAAAGCAATAGAAAAAACAAGTATGTTTTTGTGATGAGTACTCTTAGGATTTTCTTTCTTAACAGCTTTTATACCTAACTTACAACAACGTTTTGTCGTTTGTTTTGGGGCTGAGATACACAGCTAGGAAGAAACTGTAAAAAAAAAAAAAAAAAGAAGAAGAATATAAATCATCTATACATCAATTTTTTAAAGTTTNCAACAACGTTTTGTCGTTTGTTTTGGGGCTGAGATACACAGCTAGGAAGAAACTGGAAAAAAAAAAAAAAAAAGAAGAAGAATATAAATCATCTATACATCAATTTTTTAAAGTTTATTACAAAAACAATGCAATTGATTGAGGAAATGTGGTTATTTCTGGCCATGTAAAATAAAATCAATTTGAAATCAAAGTGACAAATATTTTTTAAAGTAGAAGATGACATGATTGTAAAGAACTTTAGCTCTTCCCAAAGTGAGAAAACTTTGTTCCTTTAAGTCATCAAGAACATGGTAAAGTCAGTGTAAGGCACAGGAAAGTATTCCTGTAAGACACAGAATCTTTTGCCTTTTAGGCAGACTGAGAACCCTTTTCTAATCTCTTAAGAAGCAGATCAGTAATCCAAGAAAATTTTGTCATTTGGCAACAAGAAAATAGAATTTCAGTTTTGCACCAGTATAATATTTGATACTAGTGATCTTTTAAAGACAATCTTATAATAAGCCCATTAACCTTTAACAAAGGAGGCTTCCCTCATAGCTCAGTTGATAAAGAATCTGCCTGCAGTGCAGAAGACCTGGGTTCAATTCCTGGGTTGGGAAGAGTCAGAGACGACTTAGTGACTAAACCACCACCAACCCTTAACAAATGTTGGCCATGACAAATATAGTTCCCTTTCTGTGAACCTTCTACAACTTTCTATATCCAGGCAGATTTTGTCCTCTGCATTCCTGTTCCTCACTCTCAAACAACTAATCATCTTACTTTAGGACAAAGCTACTCTTCTTTCCCTTAACAAAAGCACATCCTGAATACCTTGCATACAAATTTATTTTCCTTTGCAATTATTTCTACCAGAGACTCATTCACATATAAGGATCATAACTTTTAACCCCAGCAACTTCTGTTCCACAGAAATAACTGGAAAGTGGATAATTGTGAACTGTCACACACTATTTTATAGCAAAGCTTATGAACATACATCTCACAACTTTATATAGCCATATACATCTTTACAGTACAGCTTCTTAATGTGGTAAAAGAAAATACATTCACTAACAGATCAAAATATATAAAGTCTTAAAATTATGCTTAGTTGTTAACATTTCAGTATTTTATCTTATTAGAAATGATGTAGGGTTTCCCTCGTGGCTCAGTGGTAAATAATCTGCCTGCCAATGCAGGAGACACAAGTTTGATTCCTGGTCTGGGGAGAACCCACATGCCACGAAGAGCTAGGTCTGTGTGCCACAGCTATTGAGCCTGTGCTGTAAAGCCGGGGAGGCTCAACTGCTGAGCCCATTCGTTGCAACTTCTGAAGCCCATGTGCCCTAGAAGCTGTGCTGGGCAACAGGAGAAGCCACCACAGTGAGAAGTCCCTGCACCGCACCTAGCGAAAAGCCCGCACAGCAACGAAGACCCAGCACAGCCAAAACTAAATAAATAAAATTATTTTTTAAAAATAAATTATTTGAGGTAGTTTACAGGGAAACTAAAAAAAAAAAAAGAAATTATATATGTAGATCATCTAGCATAAACCAGGACATGCCAAGGACTGCAGGCAGTCACCAAGCTCCGGGACCAGACAAGAAAAAAATCATCCCTTAGAACCTGCAGAAGGAAGATGGCCCTGCCGACACCTCGATTTCAGATTCTAGCCTCCAGAACTCTGAGACAACAAATTTCTGTTGTTCAAAGCTACCCAGTTTATGGCATTTTGTTAGGACCGCCCTAGGAAACTCATCCAGTTAGTAACCCATGGGATTAGATAATCACATCATACATAAAGACCTTCAAGAAGACAGGAAAGATCATCCCCCTCATGTTACTGCTCTAATGCTTCTTAACACTGGCCCAATGCAAAGAATCCTCCTTCATTCAATCCTCAGTTGAGGAGCTGAAGGAACTTCCTGGAAAAATCTCACAAGAGGAACCAAAGAGAAATAGGGGCCTTGCAGAAGAGCCAGGGGAAAGTCACCTTGCCTGGAAGAATCACTGTAACTCAGGATGTCATGTGAGACAGCCATCCAAAGCCCTGAATGAAGATCCCAGATCTCCAGGACACAGAGGCTCAGAGAAGCCAATGTGAAAACCTAGGTGAAGACGGCATGGTCCACGGGAGGGCTGACATTCAGTCTGAGACATGACACCAGAAAACTGTCCAAGACAAATCCAGATTTAGGTAAGGGGGAGTATTTGAAAGGGCTGTTGTAAGTGGTTGCCAGAGGTTGGAGGAAAGGCAGGCAGTGGACAGTGGCTTTCTAATGGGGATGAGTTTCAGTTTTGCAAGATGAAAAGGTTCTGAAAATCTGTAGCAGAATAAAGTGAGCGTACTTAACATGACCAAACCACACACTTAAAAATGTTTAGGGTGCTAATGTTTACGATATGTGCCTTTTACCACAACTTAAAAAAATACTCAAAAAAGAGAAAAGACTTATAATATGGGGAAGGGGCCCACTGCAAAATGACACATTGACCACAAGATCACAAGCATCTCAAAGGTCAGATGGAAAATGACTTTTTAAAAAAAATTTTGTTGTTTGTTGTTCAGTCAGTAAGTCGTGTCCAACTCTGAGACTCCATGGACTGCACCACATCAGGCTTCTCTGTCCTTCACTATCTCCCAGAGTTTGCTCAAATTCATGTCCATGATATCTAACTCTCTCATCCCCTGTTGCCCCTTCTCCTCCTGCCCTCAGTCTTTCCCAGCATCAGAGTCTTTTCCAATGAGCGCTCTTCTCCTCGGTGGCCGAAGTATTGGAGCTTCAACTTCAGCATCGTCAGTCCTTCCAATGAATATTCAGGGTTGATTTCCTTTAAGATTAACTGGTTTGATCTCCTTGCTGTCCAAGGAACTCTCAAGAGTCTTCTCCAGAACCACAATTCAAAACATCAATTCTTCAACACTTAGCCTTCTTTATAGTTCAACTCTCACATCTGTACATGACTACTGGAAAAACTATAGCTCTGACTATACAGACCTTTGTCAGCAACGTGATGTCTCTGCTTTTTAATCCACTGTTTAGGTTTATCATAGCTTTTCTTCCAAGGAGCAAGTGTTCTTTAATTTCATGGCTGTAGTCACCATTCATAGTGATTTTGGAGCCCAAGAAAATAAAGTTTGTCACTGCTTCCACTTTTTCCCCAAAGGGGAGAAACAAGACTGGAAGGAGCTGGATGTTGCCTATGGGGTGAATGAGTTGATAGCTGGACCACTGATCAGGGAAGGTCCATGTTTATGGTCAGCTTTTGGGCTGGACGGGGATGATTAAGGAAGGGTTGTTCTGAATTGTGCTGATTCAGGTTGAGGGTGGGTCAAATGTCAGGGGCGTGGCTGGAGAGGAGAAGCCCCAGCTGAGTTTGAAAAAAAGAATAGTTACCAGGCCTGACCCAGGGTGGCAGCTGAATCCTTACAAATTGGACAATTTGATGAGCATTTGTTCCCTTCAATTCTGTATCTTTATATAATCTAATAACTTTTTTGTGATCCTCAGTTTTCTTTTAACACTTTAGACAGACGCAGAGCCAGTGTTTAATGTAAGTTAGATCATGTGAGTTAGAAGACAGGTAGTTCTTGGTCTGAACAATTTGGTGTCACTGGTTAGGGGAAGGGAGACATAGACTTAGAGTTTTTGGAAATAGTTGATAGTTTTTCAAAAGGGAAGACCTGCTGTAAACCAGTAGCCAGGTCATGACTATTTCCATTCTTTGAACTTGAATTCTACAGGTTTCCCTTTATTATGATGCTGTCACAATGCACCCCTCCCTCAACACACACATACATGCACTTTGCCAGGAAAGGCTTTGGGATCATTTGAGGGAGAGAGACTGATATGCTCACAAGAAAACAAACCTTAACAAATTGATAATGTGCATTTGAAAATCCATTTGTTTATGTATTTGAAAAACAGGAAATTCAACATTAACAAAACAAAAATGTGTAGTTTGAGAAGATATTCAAATATTAATATCTATGGAAAAGAATTGCTCAGAAGAACAAAGGAAAGCTTGACATTATTTGAGTCATGACGTTTTCCAAGAGAGTAAGATAGTAGAGAGTGTTTGGTTAGTTGATGTTGAAGTTTTAGCACCTTTAACATGAGTACTGATTTTGGAGGGGCCCACTCCACATGGTTATTTGCACTTCTCTGTGGCCTAGGAGAAGGCAATGGCACCTCACTCCAGTACTCTCGCCTGGAAAATCCCATGGACGGAGGAGCCTGGTAGGCTGCAGTCCATGGGGTCTCGAAGAGTCGGTCATGACTGAGCGACTTCACTTTCACTTTTCACTTTTATGCATTGGAGAAGGAAATGGCAACCCAACTCCAGTATTCTTACCTGGAGAATCCCAGGGACAGGAGCCTTGTGGGCCGGCGTCTATGGGGTCACACAGAGTCGGACACGACTTAAGTGACTTAGCAGTAGCAGTGGGCCTAAGGGTATTTTTGACATCATTTTTCCCACCTGTGTCTGTCAGTTCCTCCCCACTCACCTCCTCCCGTGACAGCCTGGCTCATGTTTCTCAGGAAAGCGCTAAGCCAGTTATTAATAACAGCCCAGCAAGTCTCCTGAGCCACCTAGGAGCAGATGGTGTTTTTCACAAAAGAGAGAGATCATCTCCTTGACTTTGGACTTCGCTTATTGAACCCCTGAACAGTAAGTTTTGTTTTGTTTTTTTTTTGGCCTTTTAAAATGTTGACAAGAGGGAAGTTTAGCAGAAGTCTTGCTTGCTTCTGGTAGGGGAATGCGGGAAGCTCAAAGACTCTGGAAGCCTGTTTTCTCTCCCTGTCTTTCAATGTCTCTCCAGTTTTTATAAGGCTGGTTATATGATCTAATATGAATTAGAATTCTATCCCCTCCATTTCCTTCTGGCTTAATAAAGGCAGAAGGAGAAGCAAGGGATTAATATGATCTCAAAGTTGGACCCAGCCTTGTGGTCATGCCAGATATTAATATTTATTATTAATTATTGTATATTATTAATAATTATTATTAACATTATTTCTGTCTTTCTGTGTTCCCTCCCCAAAGAGAGGATTTCAGTGATTTCAACGAGATATTTACATATGGAAGGTGTCTGCAGGGGAGTATTGGACTGGACACTTGGGCCTTGTCTGTCATTTCTCCATGTTTGAGTTTTGCTGCAGACAGAGGGCACCTGTCATATTGCTTGAATTTATTGCCTTCTTGAATGTTTAGCCAAAGGCTTTGTCCTTGCAGCCTTTTTTTTTTTTTTCCTTTTGAAATAATGGTTGCTTCTGAGAGTCCTGCAAAGTAGGTCACTGTGTTTTCTGTCTGGAAAAGGAGGACCCTGGAGCTGGGGCCCTGCCCAGCCCTCTCAGTCTGGCATGCTGCAGTCCATGGGGTCGCAAAGAGTTGGACATGACTTAGTGGCTAAACAACTACAACAAGATCAACGATGCTGGGGAAACTCAAAACAATTTCAAAGCACAAACTATTATTTTAATAAACTTTTCTGCTCTTCTATAATCAGCATTCTAAAATTTTTCTTTTGGTTCCGTGCTTCTGTGGTTCTGAAAGACTGGTTGCCCCCCTTCCTAGCTCCAATTCTGTGTCTGGATGAGACAGAAAGGAGGGTTGTTTCAAAGAATACCTACTTCCCAAAGTTTTACTCTGTATGCTCAAGAGACAGGATGAAATTTTTGTTTCCCACTGCAAGCTTTCATTCTGCAAATGTTTATTTAATTCCCACTGTGTGAATACACAGTGCTAGATTAGCAAAGGGTCAGTAAACTCAGAATAAGGTAGGAGAGAGAAGTCATTTCATGAGTAACTGAAATAAGTCAGAATGGCCTTGATCCATGGTACATGAGAAGTAAGACAGTGGGCAGGCATTCCACAGGGCCATCACCCCCAAACCTACTCACTGAGGAGGGGTATCATTATCGGACCTCACCTTGGAGAGCTGTGCATTCTTATAAAACAGCTCATTGCTTTTCAGTGTTCCTCCCTGGGTTTACCTTCTACGCAACAAGCTTGGGAGGCACAGAAAAACTCACCATAAAGTTGAATCTCATCCTCCCCACCCCAGTATTTTTAATTTTTTGAGTACCTGTTTTGTTCCAAAGTGAAAGTTGCTCAGTCGTGTCCAACTCTTTGCAACTCCATGGACTTTATAGTCCATGGAATTCTCTAGGCCAGAATACTGGTGTGGGTAGCCTTTTCCTTCTCCAGGAGATCTTCCCAACCCAGGGATCGAACCCAGGTCTCCCTCATTGCAGGCGGATTCTTTACCAGCTGAGCCACAAGAGAAGTCCAAGAATAAAGGAGTGGGTAGGCTATCCCTTCTCCAGCAGATCTTCCCAACCCAGGAATAAAACCAGTGTCTCCTGCATTGCAGGCAGATTCTTTACCAACTGAGCTATCAGGGAAGCCCCAGCCCTGTGCTAAATGCTAGAAATTTAATTTGGCCTTAGAAGAGGTTACAGTCTTTCACTGAGCCTGAAATTCTGTTCTCCAACCTGGCCATCTGCCTTCTCAGCTTAACTTGACTCCAAATAACACTTAGCTGGTTTCAGAAATCAAATATTAGATTAAAAAGACAAAACTGCTAGCAGTGAATTTAGGCAAATGAGTGTGTGTTACAGGCCAAGAAAGAGGTTTAAAAGGTTTTCCTGAATGCTTTTAAGAAAATTCACACAGGTCCAGAGACCTCCCCTCCACTCGCCAAACCTGGGAGGACACTTGTTTCGATATGAGAGCTCTGCAAATAAAATCCCCAAACCCAACAAATAAGCACCTGGCCTCAGCTCCACTCCTGCTTCATCACACCATGGAAGGTGTCATGTGGTACCACCCCTCCTTCCTTCCACAAGGAAGCTTTGTAGGGCTGGTCCTCGCCATAACTCTGGACAGTTCGTCTGGCCTTATAAGACTGCACTACAGCTGTGCTTCCTGGCAAGGGTTGGGGAACTTGGCAGGGAGAAGGTTGAAAACATTTTGATTGTTTTGGTTCCAGAATCTTTCTTAATGTTACGTGCCTATAACTGAGTAATTTATGTCTTCTTAGGGGCAGTGCAATCTATTTGGTTTAGGGACAGGGTCTCGGATCGTTTCAGCCTTCAGGAGTCTCAGTAGTAGATGATTAAGAGAAGATGTTTGTTCATAAGTAGAAAAACTGTTCATTTTAGGGCCAGAATATTTACTCAAGATGTGTGAGGCAAGGGACTTCTCTGTTGCTCCAAGTGTTAAGACTCCTCACTTCCAACGCAGGGAATACAGGGTCCTTCCCTGGTCAGGGAACTGATATCCCACACGCTGTGTGTGCCTGTGTGTTCACTCAGTCATGTCTGACTCTTTGCAACCCCTTGGACTATAGCCCACCAGGCTCCTCTGTCCATGGGATTTCCCAGGCAAGAATACTGGAGTGGGTTGCCATTTCCTCCTCCAGGGGATCTTCTTGACCCAGGGATTGAATCTGAGTCTCCTGCAACTCCTGCATTGGGAGGCAGATTATTTACCACTAAGCTCCCTGGGAAGCCCTGCCACATGCTGTGCACATGGCCAAAACAATTACTTAATTAATTAATGTTTTTTAAAAATGTGAGGCATGGTCATATATGGCTTGGGAAGGCCCAGATTGGACAGATATTGACATGGAGGGAAAGCATGAGAACTCCAGTTGAAGAGGATAAGAGCAGAGGGATTCCACAGAGGTCTGGGACCCTTTGTGTACTCCTGGGGGTCAGGTGGACCCTCATGGGGCTCTGCCAGGCCAGACAGTGGCCTTTGGCCCACATGTCTGCGTGTCTGTCTCAGCTTCCTGGGGCTTGCCGTCTCTTAAGTCCATCTCAGTCCCTCACCTCCCTCCATCGTTGTTGGACTGCAGGAAGTATCCACCTTTTTGACTCCCAAGCTTCATCATATCAACTGTTATTTTATCCATTGCCAGGCAACATTCTTCTGACCACTCCTGAGATGGTGCAGTGGCTAAGGCTTTGAAGCCAAACTCACTTCCATTCAAATCCCTGGTCATCCCCTGGAGTGTGATTCTCAAATAGCTCCCTGAGGTCTCTGGTCATCAGTCTCTCCAACTAAGGAAATAGAAGCATTAGTGCTCACCTCATGTGGCTTTATGAAATTAAAATCAGAATATGTGCAGGCCCTTCTTAACTATAGTTATCAGTAAAATCCTTTCAATCCCATGCAAGATTGGTTATGTCTATCTCCAGATGAGATAGCAGGTGAGGGTAAATGTCTGGCTATTGTGCTAATACCAGTCAGAACCAGAATCTCAAACAGTTCCATCCGGCTCCACAACCTTCCTGACCCCCATCTCTGTGACAGGGCACATGTTTCTGTCTCCAAGCAAAGTCCACTTTGTCAGTTCTGGCAGGTCTTACCTCCCAAGTTTCCCAGTTCTCCTTGTGGCTTATTTTATCCTAGACATTGGCCTTCCCTTGGCCTGAATCAAAGCAGTTGGGAGGTGGTGAAGGTAGAATATCTTCAAATAGCCAAGTCTGGTGAAATGCAGAATCCAATTTATCATAAATGTATTAAAAACTTACTGAGGCAATTAATATGGTAGCTCAGAAGAAAAGTAACTGTGTGACCTCAGACAAGTTACTGTACTTCTATGGGCCTCACTTGTCAAATGAGAAGCTGGAAGAAATCTCAGTTTCTTTGCCAGTGTTAACATTTCTGTCATAGTTGAGATTTTTTCACTACAGTTGTTTTTCTTAGCTAGAGAGAGAAAGGTCTCCTTGAAATCATATTTTAATCAGGCAGGAAACAAGGTTTAACAATCATGCTCATAATCACTTCAGTGTAAAACCTTATGCCATTTATTATTATTCTCATTCAAGCTTTCTCTGTAAAATGCTCATATCGTTGATGAGTTAATTTCTCAGCTATCTGTTAAATTCTCTTCCTCATGTAATTCCTCACATAATTAATTCAGAAAATGCACCTTGAACTCTATTTTGGAAACTTAGAGAATGCACAAAATCCTTTTAACTATTGAATATGCCCGATTTTTTAGTTAACTTCTGAATGACTCAAAATTAAGGAGTTTATGTCTCCTCTCCTACCAGGCTGTCATCTGTTTCTAGAATCTTAAGGAGACAAATCACCATTATGCTGGAAAAACAGTAACCATCCCAACAGGACATCTCCATCATGAAACCCTGTAGGCCAGTACAAAAGTTTTGTTCTCTTCCAACGTTTGACTAGGTCTCATAATTACAGGCCAAAAAAAAAAAAAAGCAAAAACATCAACAAGGTATGATTCCTATATGAATCATATAGGATTCTAAAAGGTTTCTAAAAGATAAATTTCATTAAACATAAATTTTGTGAGAGAGACATTTTCCGGAGGTGAAATTGGAACTACCCAACTTTGGGATTTTATTTTTGAAATTTTGGTGGTAAAAGTAGACTTACTATATGTGTTTTTCTTGTCATAGCTGTCTTTTGAGCAAAATGAACTTTAAGTCTTCCAAGAAAGCTTCTGCTTGACGTGCAATTATTAAATCAATATTGTTAAAAATGATTAACATCAAATACCATGATGCAGTGGGATTCAGGATGGGTAAGTCCATCCCCACTTTCTAGGAAGACAGCAACTGCCCATGGGGGTTGCATGCAAACAAATAACCATAATACACTGTAGTGAGTTTCAATACATTCCAGATAAGTGGACACTAAATTCTGCCTGAGGACATCAGGAAGGATCACAGAGGAGATATGTTGTGCTTCAAAGGATGAGTAGGTGTGTGACAGTTTTCATGTTTGGATACCTAAAGAGAAACTGAGAAGACTGATTTATTCAAGGGGTACCATCTAGGAAGCAATATGGTAGAGTATAATTGATAATGATAGTTACCCTTGCTTATTAAGTGTTTACTCGCTAGGTACAAGTATTATCTCATTTAGTTGTCACACTGCCCTAAGAAGTGGCTACTGTCATTATTGGGCTTCCCAGGTGGCGCAGTAGTAAAGAATAGCCTCCCAATGTAGGAGACACAAGAGACTCAGGTTTGATCTCTGGTTCAGGAAGATTCCCTTGGAGTAGGAAATGGCAACCCACTTCAGTATTCTTGCCTGGAAAATTCAATGGACAGAGGAGCATTGGGGGATACAGTCCATGGGGTCACAAAGAGTCAGACCACAACTGAGCATGTGCACACACACAGTTATTATCATCCCCATTTTATAGAAGTGCTAACAAACAGAGGCACAGAGAGTTAACGTGACTTGCCCAGGGTCTCATGGTAAATGGCAGATCCAAGTCAAATACCACCAATCTTATTCCTGACCCGTCTCTCAACTACCAAGTCCTGGAAGGATTCTTGTTATTTCTCCATCCAGCTAATGTTAATAAGACCAAGAGGAGAAATTCCCTGGTGGGCTAGTGGTTAAGATTTCGCGCTTCCACTGCAGCGGACATGGGTTCAATCCCTGATTGAGAAACTAAGATCCCACAAGCTGCTGGCACAGCCCCCCCAAAAAAAGATAAGGGGGACAAACTTGTCAGAAATAAGATGATCAGTGGGTTGATAACAAAACTAATAATAGGAAAGAATAAAATTGCAGAGAGTAAAAACTCATAAAAAACAGGTTAAAAAAAAACTGAACTTTCAGCTAATCTGGTTGCTAGATATTAAGCTTATAGTAGTGGCCTGTGAAAGATCAATTTATAAAGAGAAGATGGTTTCGATGTGAATAAAACTGGCTGTTGTAAAAGTATCCCAGCAAATTCAGGGTTATCAGGCCCAGAGAGATAACTGCAAGACTATCCATCCCTTGGTTCCGCCAGCAGTTCACATACACGGAAAGGAATCAGGACTAAAGAGAAAGAATGGCTGTTGGTAATTACATGTGGATATTTCCATTTCAGTCCGTTTCCTTCTCATTTGAAAATAATAAATCCACATAATTGAAACAGAGTGGCATCTGGGGGCTAAAGTTCTAGATTACTAGCATCAAGGCTCTAGCTTTGAACCTTGGGCAGTTTCTCCATGTCCCAGTAGTGCCTAATCATAACCTGGCACACACTAGACCCATGATAAATGGCATTATACTTTACTTAAAAGTAAAAGTGAAAGAGGTAGTTGCTCAGTCCTATCCAACTCTTCATGGCCCCATGGACTGTAGCCTGCCAGGCTCCTCTGTCCTTGGGATTCTCCAGGTAAAAATACTGGAGTGGCTAGCCATTTCCTTCTCCAGGGGATTGTCTCAATCCAGGGATTGAACCCAGGTCTCCTGCATTGCAGGCAGATTCCTTACTGTCTGAGCCACTTTAAGTGACTTGTTAAGCAAGAGTGGACAGATTTCAATTGTGTCTCATTTTTCTATTTGTGTATTTAGGGAACTTCTGTGAATATTATCTTGACCATTAGATATTGATGGAAACAAGTAGGATTAGCAAATTCTTATCAAAACAGAAAATATTTTTGAAATGTGACTCATGTGTTTAAGACTATAATCTTGAATCCAATGAAAAGTGTTTTTCTTCTGATTGAAAAAGAGACTTTGCAAAGTATGTTCTCTTCTTTGTCTTGACTGAGACTCCATGCCTAATAAGTGGAAATAGGAGAGGTTGGGAGAGATTGAGAAATGGGTGAAGTGTTAGGACAAGTAATAATTTTATGTAATAGAGGCAGTTTTACTGGTTCATTTGCATTGTTTTGATTTTCCTAGGGGGCCAAACCATTTAGCAAATGCACTCTTCTTGGGGTCCCAGGAGTCTCTACAATCTACAAGATTGTAGAGATTTGAAAGGCTAGTGCCTACAAGCTGATGGCAGGGTGAAAAACAGAGAATGCTATGAAATTCAACCCCCAGAGACCAAAAGTGACTACTACTAGACATTTGTCTAATTTTCTTTGTGGGATACCACTGTTTAACCTTTCAATAAACAGATTAATTTGGATTAGATTATTTGGACTGTTGGTGGAGTCAAAAGAGAATATAATAAAGACAAGTTTTGAAAACTAGATAAGAGATTATTCATACTACTTTCAGTATAACTTTCTAGAAATTAATTTCTACAAAATAAATTGTTTCTCATTGCCTTTTGGAAATAGGGAAAAGAAAGGTATAGAGAGACATTCAAAACATAGGGGCAATTATTTGCAGCCATCTGAAATTTCACCATGAAATATGTTAGGTCCCAGATAACCTAGGATGTCTTATATCAGAAATTGGAGTTAATGTTATTTTAGCTAGGATTTTTAAATGTTATATTCAAAATAAGATAGTTCCACTCAATACATCCTATTACACTTTAAGAAGTGTGCTAACTTGTTTCAAATTAATCAACTTATTTTTGAAATTTGTTTATTTGGTGCATGTTTTATCCAATAAAAAACACTACAAATCTTTTTTTCTGAAAATGCTGCTGTGAAATAGCCATTCCTCCAAAAGAATGTTCCTAAGAGAAAAAAACACATGATTACCAAGCTTCTTGCATAGCAAGGACTAATTAGGCAAAATGTAAATCAAGCATCATTTAACCCCCAGTAAAATCTGAGTGTGCTAGTAAACTTGTGGTGGTACAGATTTGAGTGCTTTCAGTGATTTAGTTCTAGAAACAGATCTAGCATTAAGGAGAAGACCCAAACAGGAACCACCCACATTCCTGTTTTTCATGAGCATTTTGGAATGAAGCAAGAACATGTTCTTTAGCCAAAGAGATTTAATATAAACTCAAGAAAAATGAAATGGGTCAGTGAAACATTTTAATGAAAATGCATAATTTATTGAATGAAGTGTAGGTTACATATTTTCATTCAAATCTCTCACTGACACATTTAATTTTTCCAAGTTCATATTTGTTAAAATGATTGGTTTGACAAAAATAAAGTCATTACTTTTAAATAGATGGACAAGAAAGAGGACAGGGAGTTAGAAGACTATTTTCTTTAGTGTTCTGAAGTTTCATAAGCAACATCCTTTAAATGAAAATGTGAGAAATGAAAGAAACAAGGGGGAGAAAAAATCACATACAGTCCTTCACCCAAACTCGACAGCTATAGCCATTATTGACATTTGTAGATAATTCTCTGACTTTTTAAAGAATATTTCAATTGTGAAGTCCTACATACCTATAGAAAGTCATATAAAATTTCTATGTGCAGTTTAACAAGTAATTAAAAACTGATTATCAACATAACAGAAAGTGAAAAATTTTTTTTAAAAAGAGATTTCCCCAGTGGTCCAGTGATGAAGACTCAGACTCAGTGCTTCCACTGCAGGGAGAACTCAGATCTTTGCATGGCATGTGGCAGGGCCAAATTTAAAAAAAGAACGAAAGAAAGAAATGAAATACTTTCTGAAAGCTCTCTACCCCTTCCATTAACACCACCACTATCCTGATTTTATGGTAGTCAGTCCTCAGATTTACTTGATCAATTAACCACCTACACCATTGCTACCCATATTATGCACCCCTAAGTCATACAGGTTTAACTGTTTTCCTACTTTACATAAATATATTTGCCATGTGTTTTCTTTTGTGTCTTGCATTTTAAAAACTCAATATTATGTTTGTAAAATTCACCACTGTTTTTTCAAACTTAATTTTCATTATTATATAATATTCCATGATATGGATTTATCTATCTACTAATAGGTATTTGGTTTGTTTTTAAGTTGAGGATATTACAAATAAAGTTTGAGTGTGTGTTCTGGTGTGGATATCCATGTTTGTATTTCGGGTATATACCCAGGATTGTAATGATTGGTCCTAAGTTATTGGTTTTAGTCATTCTTAAATATTTCAACATGATTTTCTAAGTAGTGTTTCTATTATTTTGTAGTTGTAATAATCATCATTCTGTTGGATAAATAATTTTTCAGTTGTGTCTGAATTTTACAGCCTGGTCTTTGCAAATAAATTCACTTCTCCACTTTCTAATTTGTTTTTAAAAGTGATACAAAATCTTAAAACTTATAAAGTTTATAGCAGATGTAAAATCTCACGAGGTATTGCCTCTTATGCAGAAGGAGAAATTTTGTTTGTTGTACTATGGAAGATAATGAAACATATATTTTAAAAATAATTTTAGAACCTTTCAAAATTTAAGTTATATTTGACACAAACATTGTGTAAGTTTAAGGTGTACAGTATACTGATTTGAAATGTTTATATTGTAATATGACTGCTATAGTAGCGATATCACATGATTGTCATTTCTTCTGTGCTGAAAGCAAATAATATCTAGTCTCTTAGCAAGTTTAATGTATATAATACAATTTTATGACTATGCTCACTGTACTGTGTATTACCTCTCTGGAACTTATTTGTCTATCAGTTGCACATATGTAACCCTTAAACAACATCTCTTCTGTTTCCCCCACCCCCTGAGAACTATTGTTTTAAAAGAGTGGTGAATGTTTGCCCTGTCAGGAAAATTCTAGAATTCTGTTTAACCTTTCTGTAAAAGGTGTAGTTTTTAGCTATAGTTTTTTAAATGTAGTTTTTAGCTGTAGTTTCTGCAATCCACTAAAATTAACATATCACATTTTCCCAACTTCTTCGAGAGTTTCTCCACCCAGGCTCCCTGCTTATCCACTTCCCAAACCACCTCCCCATTCAGTAAAGGCTTTTAATGTGCTTTGACACAGGAACCAAGGTTGCTAAGAGACCACCTGTGCTGAATGCACTTTGTCCTAGGAAGAGCAGCCAGAGAGAAAACCGAGGAGCAGCATTATCTACCACTGCCCGGATTAAATCAGGTGAGAAGTGGGTTTCTGTGCACTCTTCAATCCCCACCATTCATCTGGTCTTTCCCTTGCTTCCTGTTCCATCTCTCTCTTACTGTAATTGGGTAAAATTGAAGGTACCCCTCGAAGTACAGACTGAAGAAACCCAAGCTGGAGGTGGAGGAAATACGAGGCAAGGAAAATCACTTTGCAAATTCATGTGTTATGCTTCCGCCTTATTTCCCAAACATGGCACAAGGACTTGTTGAATTTAAGGGAAATCCTAGGCGTTTACTTTGCCAATGAGGCCTTCCCTGGTGGCTCAGCAGTAGAGAATCCATCTGCAGTGCAGGAGACGCTGGTTCCATCCCTGGGTCGGGAAGATCCCCTGGAGAAGGCAGTGGCAGCCCACTCCAGTATTCTTGCCTGGGAAGTGCCATGGACAGAGGATCCTGACAGGCTCTCTGTGGTTACAAACCACCACCACCACCATCACCACTTTGCCAATGATTGCTGCCGAATTTGTAATCATCCCCTCCTTAGGGAGGAGTTAGTTATCACAGAGATGAATCAAGAGGGAGAAGGTATCAGTCAAAAGAGGGAGAAGGTATTTGTATACATCTCCTCTATCTCCCTGTTTCTCTTTCATGTTCTCTCCTAAAACTCTACCTGCCTTTTTGGATTTGAGCAAAAAATAGCGGAAAATATTTTCCCACTCCAATCGTACTACTTTTTAAAAGTATTGATGCTCATTTTAAGTTGAGTGTATATAAGGGACTTGGATACAAGGTTTTGAAAATTACTTAACTCATTTGACCCTATATTTCTGGAAAAAGGAGTTGGGAATGGTTCTAAATTCCCTACCTGACAGGCATTCAGTAAAACATTCCAACAGTGTGCTCAACAGACTACAAATTAATACCTTTTGCAATTCCATAATACTTTAAAAAATTCCAGATATTTTAAAAAAACTGATTAACACAGAAAGTGAGTGTTAGTTGCTCAGCGGTATCTGGCTGTTTGTGACCCCATAGACTGTAGCCTGCCAGGCTCCTCTGTCCATGGGATTCTCCAGGCAAGAATACTGGAGTGGGCAGCCATTCCCTTCTCCAGGGGATTTTCCTGACCCAGGAATCAAATCCAGGTCTCCTGCATTGCAGAGGGATTCTTTACCATCTGAACACAGAAGTGTGGTGGAAATGAAAATATTTAATGTCTTAATAAGTGACCAAAATATAAGAAAGAGAATTTTGAGGAAAGATCAACAAAATGAACCAAGCCTTTTGTTGTTTAATTTTTAAAAATTTTATCACTTGCCTTTTTGCATGTCTTAAAATTCTTAATTCCTGCTAATTCTGGCTGTAGGTTAGAAGAATGGCAATTTCACTGATGCCATAAAAATGGTTATAAGTGACTTTGCAGAAAAGACTTCAAAAATAAACTGATAATTTATAACATTGGGAAGAGAGTGGTGATTCTGAGAGTTCTTGAGCTTTTAAAAATTTTTTTGCTTTTTTTTTTTTAAAGAAAGAAAGACAAGAGAATTCCCTAGTGGTCCTGTGGTTAGGACTCTGCGTTCACTGTTGCAGCCCAGATTTGATCCCTGCTTGGATCCCACAGACTTCACAGTTCAGCCAAAAAATAGACAGACAAATAGAAAATTCAATGATTATGACATAAGATGATCAAAATTAGTGGGTAAAAGTTCAATAATTCATTAAGGAAAAAAATACTTTAGTTCATTGATTGGTTACTAAAATGTACAAAGTCCTGACTGAAAGACATTTCTTGATCACTATTTCTTTACAGTGCAAATTATTAGATTGAGTTTTAAAAATCAGGATTATAAATATTTATTTAATGATATTTTCTCTTTATTTTACTTCTTAGGAAGCTGAAGCATTTTGGATATGATGTGTAAAAATTGGATATTAATTTCTACTACTACCCCCACAAGTCTAGAAGATGAAATTGTGGGAAGACTTCTAAAAATTTTGTTTGTAATCTTTGTTGACTTCTTGTCTATTATATATGTTGTTATAACTTCTTAGAAAACTGACTTCCTTTACTTTACTTGTGAATTTCATATTGAACTCCAGTGAATAAAATTTTATAATTTAATACGTTGAGTGATTTTAATTTGATGACATTTCCAGTTATTCTAGAAGCTAATAGGACATTGCAATAAAAACAACACTGTGTGCTATTTAGAATTTTATGGTTTATAAAACATTCACATAAATTGAAATGGAATTTTTTTCAAAAATCTACACTACTGTCATAAAACCTCTTGATTTTTAACATGATTAATATAGTTAATAGATTGACTATAAAGTGTAAGTGTAATTATGAGTGATTTTTTTAAAATTACATATGCATACCTGTGTGAAATTTTATATGGTTCTATTTTAAAATTTTTAATTTGTTTTTAAAATTTATTTTATGAAGTGTAGCTGATTTACAGTGTTAATTTCTATTGTACAGCAAAATGTTTCAGTTGTACATATATATACATTATTTTTCATATTCTGTTCCATTATGGGTTGTCACAGAATATTGAATATAGTTCTCTCTCCTATACAGTAGGACGTTGTTGTTTATTATGTGATTCTATTTTTTAACACACCAAACTTAGCATAAGATAATCTTTCCATATGATATACTAATAGTTTATTCTCATTTTCTTATATATACATTTCATCTGTGTGTAGGTAGATTGTTTTTCTTAATCCTCCACAAGTTTTATGTTTCTACCAACAAAAAAAAACTTTAAGTTAGGAATAGAAATGCTTAAAAAGAGATTGTTTTAGGAAAACAGAACTTAGAAAAAAGGAGAGAATACAGGATGCAACCTGTGTTGATTTTCTGTTTGGAACTAAATGCTCACAGTATATCATTTAACATAAGACTCCCAGTAATCCTAGGAGGCAAGAGTGTGTTGTCCCATTTCACAGATGAGCACACGGAATACTGGAAGAATTATGCCAGCTGGAGACCATACCTAGGGAAGGCAGAAACAGGCCTTGTGCCTTCACAATCCATCATATCATGTTGCCCCCAAAGGTAATAATGAAACAAGTGCAATTTAAAAACTATACAGTTCAACTTTTTTCACAGTAATGTTTTATTTAAGATCCTGTGGGTATATTTTAGTATTGTCCTGATTTATTTTCTTATTCCACATTTAAGAATCTTCTATCAAAAACAGATTGTTTACCCTTTTCTCATATCCAATTGAACAACGAGTTCTCTTCCTCTGTTTTTTTGACTCCCTCATTTTCTGACAGTATTAAACCATAGCTGTTGAATTCTGCTCTTTAAGTCTTTGAAAAACAGAGTTCTCTCTGTCCATTAGACTTTTTGACTTTTTACATTGGGCACACATGCTTCACAGAATCCTGATCTCTTCCATGTGATGACCATCTTCTCAGCTTTGGTCCAGACATTAGTGCAAGGTTTCATAAGAGACCTAATGAAGTGTGAAAGGAATCTGAGACCTTTGAGACTTATTACTTCACTGACTCTCACTTAACCTTTCAGTGGTGGTATATATTTAACCATAAGCCAAATAGAATCACACTATGTGAGCATTTGCTGTAACAGAATCTTTTTTCCTACACTCTATCGTTGGACATCCTTTGGGATATAATGTGGATATGATGTTTTTTCCAATCCCCTCTATTTGGGATTTGTTGGAGCCTATCATCAGGTTATTGAGAGGAGAGGAGAGTTACTTCCAGGCCTGGGCAATTGCTTCTTTTCCCTGTGTATTTCTAGGCAATCAGTGATATGGTTAGAAGCACTGATACTGAAGCCGCACTGTCTGGGTCAGGATCTTGGCTTCATATCCTATGGTTTAATAACCCTAAGTCTCTGCTTCTTTACCTATAAAAAAAAAGTGCCTGTGTCATAGGTTTGTCCAGAGGATGGCATGAGATGACAGGTGCAAACTGCTTAGTTGAGTGTCTGGCATATGGAAAAGGCACCATCCATGGAGGACTGCGGTTGTCAGCATCCGCAGGTGATGCTGAGTGTCAGCGAGCCTCCATCACCCTGACTGTTCTACACCTTCCCCTTGCCCTTAACCTTTGGTTAACCAGTCCTGTAGGCCCAAGGATGTGATTCTGTTGCCCTGACCCCTGACACTGTTCTGTAGCCGGTATAAACTGGTTGACCTATGTGGCTTTTATTTGGCTATGTTATTTTGGTACCTGGCGATGACAACTGGATATCATGATGTGACTCCAGACAACAAAGGATACTTGATGAACAGCCTTTTAAATGATTGATTAAATGACTGATTCTTTTTTAAATTTTTACTTTATATTGCACTATAGTTGATTTATAGTTTTGTGTTTTGGGTGTATAGCAAAATGATTCAGTTATACATGTACATATCTCTATTCTTTTTCAAATTCTTTTTCCCATTTAGGTAATTACAGAGTATTAAGCAGATTTCCCTGTGCTCTACAGTAAGTCTTTATTGGCTGTCTATTTTTAATGTAGTGGTGTATATATGTTAATTCCAAACTCCCAATTTATCACTTCCCTCTGGTAACCATAAGTTTGTTTTCTAAGTCTGTGAGTCTGTTTCTGGTTTGTAAATGATTTCATTTGTATAAGAAATCAGAGTCTTAATATGTAATTATTATGGCTAAGTATTTGGAAATAGGTCACTTTACCTTTCAAAAATATTCATTTGGTTTCTTTTTGGCATGCATGGTGCTGGGTGGCCAGGTCAAAGCAGTGAATAAAACCTAGTTCCTGCTCTCATGGAGCCTGATAGGTTAGTGGTGGAAATTTATGAATACCCAAATACTACAACTGGCATTGGAGGAAATAGTAGGATGGACATGTCTGGGGTGTCTTGAAGGGTGTGGGGAAAGATGTTCTGAGGATCACCAGTCGCAGCAAATCCTGGGAGCTTAGGAAACACACAAGATCCTAGTTTTGCCCCTCAACCCCCCAGACCTATTAAATTCAGAATCTGCATTGTAACCAGATCCCCAGTGATTACTATGCATTTGAGAAATGCTGATGTGGAGGGAAGTTCACGGACTACATGTTCCTACTGTCTGGCTACTGAACAGTTCTGTGATCTCGGATTACACTGCTTAACTTCTCTGGGTCTTCTACACCTCCTGTGTCAAAACAGAACCAAGAAAAAAAATAAAAAGTGGCATTAATACCATTGGCTTTGCATATCACATAGAAACACCATGGTTATTAAATGAACTGGACTGCTATTTGCAGGAAGAAATATAACAGAAAGGAGTTCTAGAAATCTAAGATGTTGTTTAAACATCAAGAAGACAGGAGTGGCTCTGTGAAATAAGGGACCTGTGACTACCTTCAGTAGGACTGGGAAAGGATGGTTTACTAAGTGGCGACAATATCCACGCAATATCCGTGGCATATATGTATGTATGCAGTCTGGGTTAGGTAAACAGGTATTTCCTAGAACTGAGTGACAAGCACTCTACAACTGATGAAATATTACTGATTAAATATTCATGAAATGACTTGCAAGAAAACTAAGCCAGAAAGCCATTCCAAGTTATAATGGACATTTCCTAACTTTGGGGTGTGATGTGGATGAACTGCTTCTGTAAAGACTGAGATCAAATTATATTTTATACTGGAGTAAGGTTGATTAACAATGTTGTATTAGTTTCCTGTATACAGCGAAGTGATTCAGTTATACATGCACATGTATTAAATATCTATTCTTTTTCAGATTCTGTTCCCATTGAGGTTGTTACAAAATACTGAGCAGAGTTCTCTGTGCTATGTAGTAGGTCCTTTGAGAGAGAATCTGAAGCATGTGATGTGTGTGTGACCACACAGACGCAGGCTGCTGTTCTGGGTGGCTTCTGCATGGCTATCCTTGGCTGTGCTTCCTGTGAGCAGTCCTACTAATGGAGTAAGCTGAAGGCTTGCTGCCATGTAGGCCACTCTGGGGTCAGCCATGAGCCCAGATTTATTTATAAACCCACAGGAAAGGCCCCAGAGCCATCCACCACCTGACCTGGGACCACAGTGAGGGAAGATTAGTGCAGGAGCGCGGGAAGTCTTTGGGGCCAAGTAGGCTCTCAGTCTCAGCCCTTTGCCCTTTCAGCTTGGAGGTGGCTACAGACTGTTCTCTGAAGAGTCAGTGTCCCAGGACTCCTATCTGAGGTGTGATCTCAAGGTACAGAGCCTGACCTTTCGGGTGTTGCTTACGAAGTTGATTATGACTCGCCCCATGGAGATCATGTACTCAGTAAATATTTATCAAGCTTTCACTACCTATCTGGTAGCTCTGTGGGCACAGGGAAATATTTCAGTCCCTGTTCTTTAAGATAAACCTGACCTCTGTACCCCAACACCGAGTTAATTTTTGGAGGTAGAGTTTTGAGTGAAGTAAAAAAGAATACCAAAGAAAGGCAATGCCAAAGAATGCTCAAACTACCACACAATTGCACTCATCTCACACACCAGTAAAGTAATGCTCAAAATTCTCCAAGCAAGACTTCAGCAATANTGATCTACATAGTTTCTTGGGTTTAGCGAAATTTTCTCGTGGCAGATTAAGAGAGAATATGAGACTCTAGTGTTCTTTGGCCTTTGTATGGTGCACATCACAAATTAAACAAGGAATCCTCTTTCTGGGGCTTGCAGTCTCTTTCATGATTTTTCTAGGCAGATCATGTCCGGTCTCTAACATGTCACAGGTGTTAGGGAGTGCGATTGCTCTACTAGATGAATTTAAAAGCTGTCTTTTTAGGACAACTTTAAAAAAAAATGTAAACAGAGCTAAAACTGCATCAGTTCGTAGCTTATTTTAATAGCAGCCTTATTGACATATAGTTCCTATTATTGTTTGTTGTTTTTAGATGCTAAGTCATGTCCAACTCTTCTGACCCCATGAACTGTAGCCTGCCAGGCTCTTCTGTCCATGGGATTTCCCAGGCAAGAATACTGGAGCAGGTTGCCATTTACTCCAGGAAATCTTCCCAACACAGGAATCAAACCTGCATCTCCTGCATTGGCTGGTGGATTTTTTAACCACTGAGCCACCGGGAAGCCATAGTTCCTATACCATATGTTTAATCTATTTTAAATGTACAATTCAATGATTT